CCACCTCTATTAGCATTTTCTCGACACTCGCCTTTCCAAGCCTCTCCCCAAGGCTTTCCAGTCACCTCCCCGTGACTCACTTTTCCCTCTCTGCCAGCGGGTCGCAGGCTCCCAGCTCTCCCCCAGGCTCCAGTATTTCGGGCAGTCGCTGAGCGGGGGTCAGGACCTCACCGAGGATGGCCTGGTGGACCTGGCCGTGGGGGCCCAGGGGCACGCGCTGCTGCTCAGGTGAGAACAGTCTTCCCCCGACGCTCCCCATGTAGGCCTAGGCGCAGACTAGGACACCCGCCCCCTCCCAACCCAGGCTGTGCTCCCAGGAGCCAAGGGCCTGTTCTAACTCAGTGCTGTGCCCACAGGACCAGACCTGTCCTCCAGGTGTGGATGAGCATCCGCTTCACACCCCCGGAGATCCCCAGGTCTGTGTATGAGTGTCAGGAGCAAGTGGCCCCTGTCCGGACACTGGGCGACGCCACTGTCTGCCTTCATATTTACAAAAGTTCCAAGAACCGACTGAGTGAGTCCTCTCCCCTCTGGCTCAGGACACCTGAGCCCTGGAGGCGCCCGCTCCGACTCCTGTCTCCTGCCTAGACCCTTGCCCACCCCAGGGGTTCCTGGCTCTCTCAGCCCTCCCCAAACGCTGATTTCTCTTCAAAGGTGACCTCCAGAGCTCTGTGACTTTTGATCTGGCCCTCGACCCTGGCCGCCCGAGTTCCCGTGCCGTCTTTAAGGAGACAAACACCCGGACTCTGAGTCGAGCCCGAGACCTGGGGCTGACCCAATACTGCGAGGCTGTGCCACTGCTCCTCCCGGTGAGGGCCTGGGGTCCTGGGCACGAACTGCAGGGAGTGCGGGAGGGAGGGTCAGGGAACGTGGGTGCTCACCCTGAGAAGTCAGAGGAGATGCTAAGGTCACCCTGGCAGATGTGTGGGCTCCATGGTCCTGTTCAGAGTGGGGAGAAAGGCTGTCCTGAGCCTGGCCATGGGGTGGGCGGCCCATGTTCTGGTCGTCCCGGTGGCTTGGCCCCAGCACGGGACCTGGCAGGCAGAAGGTGCTCACTACGCTGGCGGAGTGTGCCAGGGAGGTCGGCCGCAGCTGCCACAGGTGACACAGCTGGGTTCCTGGGACGGGCCGCGGGCATGGGGACATGGCAGTGGACAAAGCAGTCGTCACCCACATTGTTCTGGGTGTGTGGGGGGAGGGGGGCTAGAGAGAGATTTTTTTTTCTTTCTTCCTCTCTCTTTTTCTTTCTCTTTCTTTTTCTCTTCTCTTCCCTTCCCTTCCCGTCTCCTCTCCTCCCCTCTTCTTTCCTTCTTTCTTTCTTCTCTCTCTTCCTTCCTTCCTTTGTTTTTCTTTTCTCTCTTTTTCTTTCTTTCTTTTTTGGAGGACGCATGCATGAGAGAGAGAAAGCGCACACACCATGAATGGGTGTGGTCCGGCCACAGTCCCCACCCCTTCTCCATCCCGAAGGGGCCCGCGGCACGCACAGGCACCGGCAGGTTTCCAAGCTGCTGGGAAGGACGTTCCTACCGTGGTCCGCCATGTGGGATCTGGTTCCTTAACCATGAGGGCCACAGGGCCGACCTAAAACGAATAGGTTCCGGATAGATGTCGGGCAGGGACAAATTCTGTGAAGAAAGATAAACTAGGGGAGAACCCAGGAGGCCAGGGAGGCCTTTGAGGAAGGGAGGTTTGGAGGACTCTGAGTAACGTGTGGGAGGGCTGGGGGCCTGGAGCTAAGGTTTAGGGGCACAGGAGCAGGGACGGTTCTGGAGTAGAGGTGGGTGTGTCATGACCTGGAGTCTAGGCACAGCTAGGTCACGCACAGCGTCCCTAACCACAGTCTCTTCGCTGTCCTCCAGGCCTGCGTGGAGGACTCCATGACCCCCATCATCATGCGTCTCAACTTCTCCCTAGAGGGCAAGCAGATCCCCTCCTTTGGGAAGCTCCGGCCTATGCTGGACGTGAATTCGCAGAGATATCTCACGGCCTCTGTGAGTCCTGCCTAGGGAACTCTCATTGCGGGACAGGGTGGGGTCTGGATCTCAGGGGAAAACCCGTGCTGCCTTCCCTCTCAGCTCCCCTTCGAGAAGAACTGCGGGGACGACCGCGTCTGCCAGGACGACCTTAGCATCTCCTTTGACTTCTCAGGGTGAGCGCCTCCCTCTCAGGGCCCTGGCTCCCTCACATCCCCTCCCTGTTCTCATGACCCAGGTGTCCTGCCTGTCTGTCTCCCACCCCCCACCTCATTCTACCCCCCGACCATGTAGAGCCTCGGTCACAGAATCATCTCCCCCAAACCCCACCCCACACCCAGCTTGAACACCCTGTTGGTGGGGAGTAACCTGGAGCTGAACGTGGCCGTGGCCCTGCGGAATGATGGCGAAGACTCCTACCGAACCACGGTCACCTTCTCCTACCCAGCAGGGCTGTCCTACCGACGCGTGACAGAGGGTCAGGTACTCCCTCTCGGGAAGAGAGAGGCTGATGGGCTGGGGATCAGCGTAGACTCCTGTGCTGGGTTCAAAGCTCATATGCCACCGGGTCTAGGCTGGTCTGAACGGCATGGGTGTGGTTGTGCTGTCGGACACTGCCTCTGCTTGTAGGTGTTCAACTTCTTTTTCTTTTATAATTTTTTTAATTGCCAGAGGATGTATGCACCCACCAGAAAAAGACAGACAGAGAGAGTGAGAAGGCATTCCCTAATGGGGTGTGGTCCCATGGAAATCCCTTCTCCTCCATTCTCTATCCTGTGAGGACTTGGGGCATGCATTATGCATATGGCTGGTATGCTTTTCAAAATATTCTATTAGGATTGAGTTCCTGGAAGGCCACCAATGTGGAGAAAGAGGCACCGATGACCTTCAAATTCTTTGTATTCCATATCGTAGCAATATTCCTTTTATTTTTATTTTATTTTTTTTTACCACAGGGCACTTGTGCTCACTGGAGAGAGACAGAGACTGAGAGAGAAAGTGAGAAATCACCCCCTGGAGGGATTAAAACCATAATTTCTTCTCCTCCATGCTCCTCTCTGGATTTTGGACATGCATGCACACATGCCAGACATGATTTTCAAGACACCGGGTCTGGGATTTGAACCATGCAGTCAACCATATCAGAATCCAGTGCCTTAACCACTGTGCCACCTGCTGGCCCTGCAATATTCCTCTTTTAAAGGGAAACATATCCCAGACTTATAATATATTAAAATATTGTTCTGTGGAGGAAGAAGTTAAATTTATTGGTTACTGTAAGGCAGAGCTTGGCAAACTTTTCAGGTAAGGGTCTGGAAAGTAAATAAGCCAGCTTTGTGGGCTAGCTGGTTTCCATAACACCTACTCAGCCCTGCTGCTGTAGTCTGAAAGCAGCCGTGGAGGTGAATGAGCATAGCTGTGATCCAATAAAACTTTATTAATAAAGAGAGATGCTAAGGGGGCAGCAGGTTGAGTAGTGGCTAATGTGAGAGACTCCCACATGGCCAACGGCAGTTCAAGTCTTGGACCCAGTGGCTTTAAAATCACGCCAAGCACATGTGTGTGTGTACCCAAAATTCCACGAGGAGAACAGAGGACAAGGGATTGTAGCGTGACTATAAAGTGACTTCTCTCCACTGTCACTGTCTTTCTCTGGTGAACGCATGCACCCTGTGGCAAAAACCTAAAAAAAAGATAGGTAGTGTACTGTCATTTGCCAGTATTTGTTCTAGAAGACAGAACTAGGACCACAGAGAGTCGAAGAGAAATCGATTTTTTAAAGTTTTTATTTATGATGATGATGATGATTTAGTTTGCTATAGGACACGTGTGCTCACTGGAGAGAGAAAGGGAAAGTGAGAGAGCAAGCCACCAGGTCTAGGACTCAAACCACGGTTACATGTGGGAGTCTAGTGCCTCAACCACCATGCCACCTGCTTGCCCAAGAAATAGATTTTTTATGAAACTTTTTTTTTTTTTTTTTGCCATAGGGCACATGCACTTGCCAGAGAGAAACAGAAAAGGGGAAAGTGAGAAAACAGCCCCTTCAACACGCACACAGTGGAGGGGGGCCACCTCACAGTCTCTTCTCTGTTCTCTTATTAGGATTTGGGGCACATACACGCACACACATACCTGTGTGTTTCTCAAGTCTGTGGGTCTGGGAGTCAAATCATGCAGTCGGCCATATGGGATCCAGCCACCTTAACCCCCGTGCCACCAGCTGGCTCCCAGACTTTTGTTTAAACATTTACAAAAGTTGAGAGTGTTCAATAAAACTCCCCAAAATTTACCACCCAGATTTAATCATTATCAACATTTTGCCACATTTGTTGATTCATCTAAGACTTTTAAAAGATTTTTCCTAAAGTAGTTAAAAACATCCCTGACATCAGTTTTCGAATAGTTCCTGAGGGGGGACACTTCTCAAGACCCTAGCGCCATTATCACACGCAGTGGAATGAATGATTCCTTGGTATTGAGACCAAGATCAAATTTCCCTAATTGTCTCAAAAACACTTCTTTACCCCTGAGTTGTATGAACCCAGATCATGGTTTGGTTGTCATTTCTGTCTCTCTTTGCCCAGTATTTCCAGTGAGGGCACATTTTGCTTAAAGTTTGAAAATAACATGCTAGAAAAGTATGTGAGCAGGGATCTTGTCTGCTAGATGCCAGCTATGGACCTTTGATTGTAGATAAAGTGTTTAATTGTTAAAAATTTTTTAGCTTTTTTGCCATAGGACTCATGTGCTCAGAGAGAGATGGGAAGAGAGAAAGTGAAAAATCACCCCCCCCCCCAGGGATGATGGCCACACCACAATCCCTTCTTCTCCATTCTCCTCTTGGGATTTTAGGCACACACGCACACGCACCCAGTGTGATTTTCAAGCCACTGGGCCTGGGACTCAAACCATAGTCAGCCACGTGGGAGTCTAGCGCCTTAACCACCATGCCACCTGCTGGCCCCTGAGATTGATTTTCACAAGTCAAATTTACTTACCTGTAAGATACATTTTTGAGACAATCGAGAAGAATGATGACTGACATATTAAAGAGTTATTGTTAATTTTGTTGGGTGTGATATGTCAGGCCTGTGGTTATGTTAAAAGGTAGTCTTATCAGGGACCAGCAGGTGGAAAGGTGGTTAAGGTGCTGGACGTGGTTCAAATCCTGGATCTGATGGCTTGCTTTCTCACTTTCTCTCTCTCTCTCTCCTCTCTTTCTCTCATCTCTCTCAGGTGAGCAAATGTGCCCTATAGCAAACTTAAAAAAAAACATAGTCTTATCATTTGGTGGTACACACTGAAATATTTCTGCATGAAACATGTCTGCAGTGTGCTTCTAATTACACAGAAAAAAGGATGTTGATAATTTGGGCTGGCCCTGTAGCCGTGGTTAAGATCATACATGGACAACCATGGCCTGCATCCTAGCCTCAAGGACTTGGAAAACATGCCAGGCTCATGGTCATGCCTGATTCGGGGGTGCTTTCTTTCTCTCTGTGTCTCTCTGGAGAATGCATGCACTTTCTGTCAAGTGAAAAAAAAAAAAAAGTTGGGAACTATGGTACCAGCAGTTAGTGTAATGGCTATGTCGCTGGACTCCCATGTAGTCGACCACAGTTCGAGTCCCAGACCCGGTGGCTTAAACTCATGCCAGTGCATGTGCATGCATGCCCAAGATCCCAAGAAGAGAATGGAGGAGAAGGGATTGTGGCATGCCCATGCGCCCTGGGGGATGATTTCTTGCTTTCTCTCTCTCTGTCTCTTTCTTTCTGATGAGTGCACATGCCCTATAGCAAAAACCTAAAAAAAAAAAAAAAAACAGTTGGTAACTTAAATTGAGCAATGGACACATGGGGATTAACTTTCTCACCTCTACTCTTGAGTATGTTTAAAAGTTTCCGTAACAAACACCTTCCCGGCGTGTGCTATGTGCCAGACATGGCACTTTGCTACTTTCCACCATGCACTCAATGTTTAACAAAGATTTAAAATAACAATAAATAGTGGCCAACCAGCGGTTCGAGGCCCAGAGCCGGTGGCTTGAAAATCATGCCAGGTGTGTGTGCGTGCATGCCTCAAATCCCAAGAAGAAAATGGAGAAGGGATTGAGGCATGGCCATCCCTCCTGGATAGTAGATGTCTCACTTTCTCTCTATCTCTCTCTGGAGTGCCCACACCTTAGGGCAAAAACCTAAAACCAACCAAACAAACAAAAATACACACAATAAATAAAAAGGGGACGGCTCTAATGAATTTTGAGATATCTGTTTTGGGTTTGACCAGATAGTGTCCAAGGCTCTTTTAAAAACATGACCAGCAGAGGGCGTGGTGGACATGTCGCTGGACTCCCACACCGTCAACCATGGTTTTAGTCCCAGACCCTGTGGCTTGAAACTCACATTGGGCTCTTGTGTGTGCATGCCCAGGATCCCAGGAGGAGAAGGGATTGCAGTGTGGCCAGACCCCTGGGGGGTCATTTCTCACTTCCCTTCTCACTGACTCTGTCTCTCTCTCTCCAGTGAGTGCACGCACCCTAAGGCAAAAACCTTTCAAAACAAACAAAAAACCACGACCTTTAAGCTAGATTCTGTGAAACCGTAAGAAGTGTCTTTGGGCCGCTAACAAACCCTCACCTGCCTTTGCCTAGAACCAGCTGCAGCTGCACTCCCCACGCCTGACGTGTGACAGCGTGCCAGCTGGGAGCCAGGACACCTGGACC